TTTTTTTTTTGTCTTGGGGCTTGAACTTAGGGCCCGTGTTTTGTCCCTTAGCTCTTTTGCTCAAGGCTAGCACTCTGCTTCTTTGAGCCACAGATCCACTTCCGAGTTTCTGGTGGTTAATTGAAGATAAGAGTCTCACAGACTTTCCTGAGTAGCTAGGATTACAGATATGAGCCACCAGCACCTGGCAATAATTTAGGTGTGTGTGTGTGTGTGTGTGTGTGTGTGTGTGTGTGTCTGTGTCTGTGTGTGTGTTTGCCCAAGATGGAAACCCAAGGCCTCATACTTGCTAGGCAAGCATAAGCATCCTGTCAGCTCCATCCTCAGCCCTAGACAGCTGTCCTCTTTAACTGAACAGCCCTCACTTCTACTTTTTCCTCTTGGTGGATAGCATGGGATCCTCTCTTTCCTTGGGCAGATAGAAAAGAGAGGAGGATGGGAGGTAGGACCAGCGATGGAGAGGTGTATAATGAATAGACGGGTGGATGAATGTCAAAAATAAAGCTGTGCCGGTATCTTTTATTTTCTCCATCTTTCTGGATTCTTTTCCTTCTTGTTACGGACACTGAAGAAACGCTCACTGGCCTAGATTTTGTCACATACCTTACATCATTGAGCAGTCTCTTCTTGTAACTGAATGGCTTATTTTTCTTCTTTCATTTCTTGCCTGCAGGTGTCCAGACACCATGCCCCAGGGCTCCAGGCCTGCCACTGGCAGGAAGTAAAAGGCTTCCCTGTCTTTTGTGTTCCCATCCTCACCATGTCTTCGAATCAGGGCAATGGGGAACACTGGGAGTCCCTGGAGTCGGTGGGCATCAGCCGCAAAGAGCTGGCCATGGCCGAAGCCCTCCAAATGGAGTATGATGCCCTGTCCCGGCTCCGGCATGACAAGGAAGAGAGCCGGGCCAAGCAGAACACAGAGCCGTCCCTCATCAGCTGGGATGAGCCTGCCTTGGACTTCTACAGCAAGCCATCAGGAAGGCGGAAGGACCTCAAGCTCTTGCGCGGTCTCTCTGGCTCGGATCCTACCCTCAATTACAACTCCATCTCCCCACAGGAAGAGCCACCCAACCATTCTACCTCCCAGGGCTCCCAGCCTGGCCCAGGGCCCTGGCCCAAAGGTTCCCTGTCTGGAGATTATCTCTACATTTTTGATGGTTCAGATGAGGGACTTTCTTTGTCCCCCGGACCAGGGGACAAAGATGGCTCTTGTAAGAAACTATCCCCGCCTCCTTTGCCTCCGCGAGTCTCTATCTGGGATACCCCTCCCCTTCCTCCCAGAAAAGGCTCCCCCTCGTCATCCTCTAAAAGCTCTCAGCCCAATGACATCAACACTTTTTCTCTAGTCGAACCACTTCCGGGCAAAATTTTGGAGCAGCAGATCCTAGAAGAGGGAGAGCTGCAGGGGGATGGGGGTCAGGGGCACCTGCTAGGGTCTAGGGACTATGATGGCATCAGTGATGCAATTACAAGGCTCAACCTGAAGTCCACCTACGATGCGGAGATGATGTGGGATGCCACCCGGGGCTGGAAGGAAGGCCGGGGACCGCTGGATTTCAGCAAAGACACCCCTGGGAAACCTGTGGCTCGGAGCAAGACCATGCCCCCTCAGGTGCCCCCACGAACCTATACCTCCCGCTATGCCAACAGAAAGAATACGACTCCTGGCAAGAACCGCCGGATTTCAGCTGCTCCAGTAAGGATCTCAGTGTGCCCCTTCTGTCCCTCTCCCTTCCCTGAATCCTTTAGGGACAAGGACCAGACCCCCTTTGCCATTCCAAGTTCTAACCTGCCCCCCTTTGGCCCTCCCTTCTACTTCTGCCATTGGGACTCTGGATCCTTGTTGGGGGATAGGCTTGGTTATAGAAGTTAGGGGGAGGGACCCTAGAAACACGTGACTATTTTCCGGGGTCAAGTTTTACATAACGTGGCCTAAAGTGCACTTCTAGGGGTAACATTTTTTTTTTTTTTGTCAGTTGTGGGGCTTGAACTCTGGGCCTGGGCACTGTCCCTCAGCTCTTCAGCTCAAGGCAAGCGCTCTACCACTTGAGCTACAGCGCCACTTCCGGTTTTCTGGTGGTTTATTGGAGATAGGAGTTTCACGGTCTCTCCTGCCCGGGCTGGCTTTGAACCGCGATCCTCAGATCTCAGCCTCCTGAGTAGCTAGGATGACAGGCATGAGCCACCAGCGCCCGGCTTTAGGGGTAGCATTCGCTTTCTGATGGAAGGAGTGTCAGAAGCTAGGGAACTCAGCATCGAGTGTAACTAACTGAATGGCCCTGGGGATTTGAGCAAGTCGCTTCCGGTTCCTGAAGCCCTGTCTGCCAAGGCGCTGCCTGGGGGTGAAGAGTGTTCAGGACTAGTCACTCATTCAGTGCTTGCTCATTGCATACCGGACTCCAGTCCAGATCTCCACAACAACCCTCCCTGAGAGTCCCAAGCCACACACAGCAAGAAAAGGCAGAGCTGGCACTCAGCCCTGGCCTTACTGTTCCAAAGGTCCCTTCTCTCTTGCCCTCCTCCTCTCTCCCTTCCTCCCCGTGTTTATGGTGATAAATACACCTCACAGAGGTTTACTATCTTAACCCTGTTTAAGTGTAGTTCAGAGTCAGTAAGTGCAGTTGCACGGTAGAGCTTTTGCATAGCTGCCTGCTCTTTGTCCGTTGGCGATATTTAGAGAAACTGGGCAACAACAATAATAGTTTGAATCATATCAGTTTGCAGGGAAAAGTAGAACCATGTTTACACTTCATTTCAGGCGGGCTCCGTAGCACCTGTGGCATCTCTGTGGGTGGGTGGGAGCTAAAGGCCACTTTGTGGCTTTGTGTGTCCTCTGGCTCCAGAGTTGACAGCGTCTGTGGCAGCTGGCAGCTTCTTGGTCTACCTCACTGCACCCGTTTCCTCGTTAGCCATTGTCTGAGGGACACCGGGCTTTCCTGCCTCGTGTCTGTCTAGCCTTTGGGATCCATCCCAACTCCAAAGAGCTACCCAGTCCTTCCTGCTTCTGCTGGTCCTGTACAAAAGCAGAATGAGATCTGGGATGAGCCAGAGCTCCAAGCCTCAGGGCTTTTTAAAGGGCCTGCTTTGAGAGGTGGAGCTGTTCTGCTATTTATAGGGACTGGGAGAATCCTGCTCCTGGCTGAGCTCCTCACCCAGAGCCGGGCTTGCTCACTGAGTCAGGCCACCCTGGTAGGTAGTCACCTCTGTCTTCTCCCTTGCCTCTCCCTTTCTCCCTCCCCACTCCCCCCCCCCATCCTGTGTGTCATTAGTTTTCCCCAAGAGAGCCTGGTCCCTGAGTCTCCTTGAAGAAGTGAGGGCAAAGCAAAAACCTTTTGCCAGTTCTGAGCAGGGGGGAGGGAAATGCGGCCTTGGTCTTCCCCTCCTCAGCCTAATATAAGGGCTCAGCCCACTAGGAGGGGGGACCCTTTGGGCCCCCGGCCTATCCCCCCACCCCGCCTTCGCCGGGCTTGCCGCCAGAGGGACCTTCCTAATCCCAGGCCTGCTGAGCCATCTCTGGAAATGGCTGGTTCCAGATGCCAGCCTGTTACCCCCGCTGCCAGCCACTGCCTGGCAGACCCCCCCAGCAAGCATCAGGAGATGCAGCCAGGGCCTGCCAGCCGGGCAAACGTAAGTGGCTTTTGTTTTCTTACAGTGCCAGTGAGTGGTACAGAAAGGGCATGAAATAGCCTTCAGTGGCTATTCTTTTCTCTCTGCCTCTCTTGCTTTTCCTCTGTCCTCCCCCCCTCTTTCTCTCTCTCTCTCTCTCTCTCCTCTCTCTCGGGTTAATTGCTGACAGTGGTACTATTGTTTTGACTGGGGCACAGGCACGCACTTGGCAGAGCCAGAGACTCACATGCCAACTGCCCCCACGGCTGTCCTCCCAGCCCCTCCATGTGCCCCCACACACCCAGGAGTGTGAGGGAGGAAGCAAGCAGGGGATGTGATCCCTCTGGAAGCAGCTGTTCGAACCCCCTGCCTTTAGGGGAGATAGGCTGTGACTCCATGGAGCAGAAACCTCATTTCCTGTGTGGCCACCCTGGGCGGGCCTGTGAGCCACAACCCCTGGGCCTCCACTCCCCCCTCAGCCTCATCACACTTGCTTCTCCCTAGGGTGCACTTAAGGGCTTCTTTAGGGCCGCTACTGTGTGATTAGGATAGCAGCTCTGGGATGGGACGCAGTTTGGGGCCTTGTCTGAGAATCCTGACTCCATACTTATGAATAGGTTCTGGGAGAGGAAGTGCGGGAGCAGGCAGGGTAAGGTGCCTGCCATTCTATCCGCCCCGGAGCCTGGAGGAGCCAAGCCTTCTACCAGGTTCTCTCCTGCCCAGACCGCCGCTTGAACACTTTCTTCCTCAAATAGCACTTACGAGAAGACACATGTTTCTGAGTCATTGCCCCTATTGAAGGGTTTCTCTCTCTCTCTCTCTCTCTCTGTCTCTCAACCCCCCCTCTCCCTCCCTGGTCCTTGAGGCTTTTGCTCAAGGGTGAAGCTTCCCCAAGGACCATTTAGGTTACCCATCTGCTTGGCCTAGAAGGCCTAGAGCTGCCTTTCTCGGCTCACCAACTGAGCCCCTTAGAGGCCATCCCGCTGTGGCCCATAGTGCCATGTGCTGCCTGACTGGCAGCCCTGGGCTGGTCAGATACTTCCCCTCACAGAGTGGGTTCCGTGACTCTGGTCCCCTGCTCCCCAGCTTTCATCCTTAGCCTGAGATTCAACTCTATTTTTTTTTCTGCCTTGACTTTTGGCTTCCTAAGACAGAGTTCCAGTTTTCTCATCCTTTCTTGTGCGCTCTTTTTATGGAGCTGAGGAGCCACAAAGTCTTTACACCTGGAGTTTGGGTTTAAAGCTGGGAGGCCCTTCAGGGAAGGGCTGCTATTCGGAAAAGGCATTGAGTTGGCCACTCCTCCCTTACAGGTGGGTTCCCGGCCTCACACTGTCATCCATGGCCACGAGTTGTTTGAGGTCTCAGAAGAGCGAGATGAAGAAGTTGCTGCATTTTGCCACATGCTGGATATGTAAGAGTTAAAAAAAATGGGCGCGGGGACTTGGGAGAATTGTGGCGGCGGGGAGGAGGGTCGCCTATCTGTGATGTTTCTTTAGGAAGGAAGAAGAGCCATATTAAATTAACCTCAAACAGAAGCTGGTCGCCAGGCGCCAGTGGCTCACACCTATAATCCTAGCTACTTAGGAGGCGGACATCTGAGGATCATTGTTTGAAACCGGCCCTGGCAGGAGAGTCTATGAGACTCTTATCTACAATAAACCACCAGAAAATAAGAAGTGGCACTGTAGCTCAAGTGGTAGAGTGCTTGCCTTGAACTGAAGAGTTCAGGGTCAGCACCCAGGGCCAGAGTTCAAGCCTGACAACT